AAAAAAAAATTCTCCAGAGTACTTGCTGAATAATCAGCTCCTGCAGCTCAGTGTCAAGAATAAGCAGCTGTCTGAATAAGGACAGGCTGGAACAGCCAGGCCAAGATCAAGTCACACAAAGTTCCCTTGTGGGTGTTTTGTTCTGTTTTTAATTGGATACTGTCACATCCACAAGTCTTCCTGGGATTTTTAGGGACAGGCACTGAAAGTGGGCCAACTCGTCCCACCATAAATCTCCCACTACCATGTCCAAAGAAGCCCTGAGGCAAATTTGTTTACTTCCTATGAAGCTGGAACAGTTCATTTTCATGACTATCATGGCAAGGAAGATATGAGATGAGGAAACCTCTCCATTACAACTCAAATGAAAGTTTCTTCAAGGCCCAAACAATAGTCCCAGGTTCTGGTTGCAATTAAACAGCATGAACTAGATACCTGATATCCATCAACTCACATCTGTCAATGTTGCTGCTGACATATAAATCAGTTCTCCTGGGTTCCATTTCCAAGGGGATGTACAGGAGAAGATCATGACAGTGCTATAAAACATACCACATTCCAGATTATGCTATACCCCATAGCCTTCTCTCTCTTCAGTCTTTTTAAACTTTGCAAAGAAACCATAGTTGCCTTTGCAGGGAAGATAGCACTCATTGCAAGAAATGCACATCTTAACATTTCATTTCTTCTGGAAGATAATCAAAATTTCTGTGGCTTTCAAAAAAGACGAAGTCAGCCATAACTGAGACAATTTTTAAGGCACATTGTCTGGAGTCCAGCTAATATGATGTGTATTAGAAACAAGAGAAACTGTAAGCCTGAGAGGCAGATTTGACACCTTTTGAGAGGAAAACCAGATGTCGTGACTGGCCAGTGTTTGCAGTGTGGGAGGCAACTCATGTTCTGTAAAACTATTTCCATGCTCTGTGTCTATGACAATGCATCATACATGACATGTACAGTAAGCCCACTCTGCCTCTATGTTACTATCCCAAATTTATAATTGTGCTGTAAGCCTTGTGTGCAAAAGCATGCAATTAAAAAAACAACCATTCTAAACTAATTCTGTCTTTGGCATTACATTTCTTTATGTGTCTGCATTCTTGCAGCATTATATAGTCTCAGAACAAACAATGTGACGTTTACCACAAATGGAGCAAGAGAGGGATGAGTTCTAAATATGAACAGGGAAGACAGCCTGCATATGTGAAACCAATTTAAAGAACCAATGGCATGTTTTTCCTTGTTTTCCAACTTATCTACAACGTTACAATGCAGCAGAAGCAACTTGGTTTATACACGTCATGCAAACTCTCACTCTCGAGGCTTTTTTTTCTAACAAAATAAAGTATTAAGTGATAGTTTAAGGATTTCCTTGAATGGGTATTAAATCCAGGCAGTTGCACATTCATGTGAGCCTGCCTGACATCCAGCGGTACCATTTTAAAAGTGGAATTTTTCCATGTTGTTCAGTTTTGTGGATATATTTTACCCCCTGCTGCACTGTGACCATAGGATGTGGAGAAAAATACAGGGCCTGAGGTTACTGCATGTCCAGGAATGTTCCTGTACAGGGACTCGTTGTTTTACCTGACCAACTCTAACATACAAGCAGCCAGCCATTGAAGACCCCTGCGGTGGTGAATGATCAGCTCATCAACGCTGGATTCCCCTCGTATGACAGTACCTGTTTGTTTTGCCTGCTTGATGCCAGTGTGTCTGCTGCATGTGATGTGATGCTGGTTAACAAGCAGATTAATGATTCATGATGTTATTGTCGGTGCTACGCTACCTGTTGGAATTAATTTCACTGCTTTGGGAATGTGGTCGCCTGTAATGCAAGGGATTTGTGGGGGAAGATGCAGCGATCACCAGTTGGCTTTACTGACCTTGAAAGGGAGTGATGTTTCTACTACTCCATGGCACATAACAGTAAGTTTAAAAAAAGAAACAAAACAAAAAAAACGCAGAGAATTGTTGTAAGGCTGTAGAAGTTACTATGTTTGCATTATGCCAATTAAAATATTGGGTTTCTCAGTTACCCGCTTTGTTCACACATCATCAGTACATATACCATTGTTTACCTATCTATGGAGGTGAAATTCAAATTAATTCATGCTGTTGTGGTTCATCCTGCTGTCCACTTTCATATTCTGGCTTGAACATGCCAGATAGGATCTGAGATATTGTCACTGTTGAAAACATAGCTTGTTTGTCAGTGTGTTTTGTTTATGTGTTGTGCTGGCTTCTTGACCGGTCTTGTGTCGTAAAGTGTTCCCCCTGTTCAAAATTCGGTTTCATGTAGCGCCCCTCAGTGTTTGTGGTTAGGATACAGGTTAGGGGAAACGCATCTCGATGAGGAAACAGATTTCAACACTGGCAACAGGAATTGTGTGTGTTCACAAACTATCCTCTTATTTTCAGGATGCTCTCAGATTTGATCGTTCTGAAATATTACCGACTATTTGGGGTTATGACGAGTGCAAAGCTAATCTAGAGGTACCCAAGATTAAACATTAAATGGCTGGAAATGAGCCATGGGCTCTTTAACCATTATTATTAATAATATTACATCATATTAGCTTGACTCCAGACAATGTGCCTTAACCATTAACTATTATGGTCACATTAGAGCTGAAGTGTCCCCAGTCAGACTTTTTTTCCCCTTCCAAACGGCTCAGATCAAATTTTTTTTATGGCTGTGTGAACACACCAAACTAGATTTGTTTATCAGATCTGGAGCCCTTCCATATGTGGTCCTTGATCCGATTTATATATAATCTTAAACCATGCGACCACTGTCAAAACACATTTCATGTAGCTTTGTTTTTTAATGTCTCGTGCCTGTGGTCAACATACTGTTAAGGTTAGTCCCTCTCACCAGGAGGGTGAGGGAGAACTGAGGTAGGACTCAAGAATGTCGACCCAGGTGGTAGTCAAAAAAACGTATCAGAGACCATGTACAGAAACCAGCAAAGTAGGGCAGAGATGGTGGAGGAGACCAGGACAACCAGGGGAGTAGACAAGCTAATGGCAGAAACCAGGAGAGTGGGGGGATCAGGACGGACAGGTGAATGGACGACTAACCAGGAGGATTGGTGATCGAAAAAAGGACATCCACAGCACCGGAACTGTCAGCGTGGAATGTCCAGAGACGTACACAAAACACAAAACAAATAACCAACGTACAAAATGCGATCCACAGCACAGGAACTGTCAGCATGGAAAACAAAATGATGTATAATACATAGCACGAAATTAGGTCTGTTACGGGGTATGCGAGTTAGGTAAGGTAATTTAGGTACGATAAGTAAGGTAATGCTCCAGCGACGACAGAGCGTCTGCCAGAGGTATAAATAAGGAGGCAGGTAATCAGCGGGATGCACCCCAGATGTGCGCACCAACAAACGAGTCGCTAATGCAACACAGCTGAGGTGCAGATCCTGCAGGAACAAGAGAACAGAGGAGAGAAAGGTGGAAGAGAGGCAGGTCACGCCGAGCGGACCTGATACATGCAGTGTCAGGACCCCACAGACTGGTAAAAAGAAACAGCGACAGGAGGCTTCTGGTCAAGCCAAACTAGAAGAAACATACTATATTGAAACTTAACAGGTTTTGAAGGAACTGTGCGATTTGACAGTCACACAAATGACAATATTCTTGTACACACAGGGTTCACATTTCAGTTAAATGTGCCAGTTTAGTTCCTCAGTTGTGTTCACACCCAAGCCAGATATAGACGTGAATGTGAATCATCAATACAAAAGATGAGATCTGTCAAAAAAAAAAAAATCTAAATTGAGTATTAAGGCCTGTGATGTGTGCTAGGACTATTTAAAGGTGCACCAAAGTCGCTACTGACAAAGAAAACTTCAACACAAAAACACTCCTGGAATGCACTGAACATGACAGACTGATGAAAAGTGTGCAACCAAGGGATTCAAGGTTTCCCTTTTCCTTGAGTGCTTCCAACAGCTCCCTAAAAGTTTACTTCAGTGGTACAGTATGCAGCAACACTGTGGAATCGTCTCGCTGGTCTTTCATAGGTTCGTAATCCCTCAGGACATACTTTTACACATCACACACATCCTGAACTGACTGACCTCTCTCTTAAAAGTCCTCCTTACACTGTGGACTATATAAACTTTTTTTGGCCCGTGATATAGCTGGGCACATCTGAATGAGGCCATTGTATGTGGCATAGCGAGTCCTGGAGGACGAGGAAACAGATCTCGCCCCATTACCAGCCAGCTGCAAACTCTCCCAGCCTTCCTCCACGTAGCAGGGGAAACACTCCACTAATCAGTTTGGTAATTAAAGTGTTCCTTGACAGAGATCAGTGGTTCTCAGGGAAATAAAGACAGGAGGTTCTACTGTAATGACTGAGTGAGAAATCACATACTGTGAATGGCTAACAGAACATTTTCCATTCATGCACCTAGTTATAACTTTGCTTATCACTATAGTATTAACAGCGCATGACATGGCCATCAGATATAGCCTGCTATATCATGTAAATATGCTTCTAATGTTTAAATTTGGTATTTATAATGAATGTCACATATGAAACAACATATTTATTTGTCACTGCTGACAAATAAATATGGGAATGTTCATTTTTTTTGTTTTTCTTGTTGAAGTTTTCAGATTCTAATGAAATCTGGGCTGTACAGTTTGAGCTTTGCTGGATCTAATATCCTTATGTTTATACATTCTGAAACAGATCTTAGAAGCACTTTTCATTATTATATCAATGTTAAATGTCTTTTGTTGCCCATAGATGGGGACAGCTTTGGCTTAAATACTGATAGCCTAGTTATTGACATAAATAAAGATCTGGAAGTCTTCTTTGCAGCTTGGTGGAGACTTGTTTCTTCACTATTGCTGTGACATTCTGTTTTAATGGTTTTATTGTTTTAGATTTGGATTTTTACACTCGCTTTGCTCTCCGATGAACACAGGTCAAAAATAAATCACATAAAATAAAATAATCTGCTCACCTGACTTTAGATTGCTGTTAAAGTAGAAGATCACCATAACAAAACAGCCTAGACTTAAGGCAAACACCATCCGAATGACTTTGGGTTTTCTCATCCTGAGTCTCTGGACACAACCAAGACGCCGGAGCGATTCCTGCCAGGATTCATGCGAAAAAGCTGCACTGTCTATTTTATCACCGATGAGAGAATCTTTCCAGCTCGCTGACCTTTGCTGCTCCTTATCTTCCTGTGCATCCTTGCATGTTTGGAAGTCGCTGCTTTGAAGACTGAAAAGGACCGAGACAAACGAGTCGGGGCCCCCGCTCCGCTTCGCCGTTGTCTTACCGTTACCGTATCGTCACTGGCCGCCGGGGCAGAGGAGATAGAAGCAGCTTGTCAGTGTCCGAGCACAGGCCGCCGTCTGTTTGTGAAACGGGGTTTATATGCTCGAACGGCGTCTTCCAAAATGTTTTGTTGGCTCTTTAACCCGTTTCTCCCCAAACACGGCGTGCGGCGACTGGTGGTCGTGCCAGATAAGAGTTCGGCATTTCCGGTTTAGCACTTCAAAGTAAAACCGATTTGTACCATAACTTAGAAAAACCCCATCACAATCAAAAGCGTTCAAAACGTCACTGGTACACCTAAAGTACCAAAAGTAAAAGTAGGCTTACTCATTAAGCAGATACTTATTTTTAGAATTGTGCATATTATATTGCTGAATTATAATTATTGATGCAGTATTGTAGATATCACTTTAATGTTGTAGCTGGTAAAGGTGGAGCTAGTTTTAACTACTTCACATCATGCCGAGTAGTTTGTGAATTTTCCCCAAGAGATCAAAAAATCTCATCTTAACCTACAATTATTATGACATAATTTTTGTGTTGATTTTGTTTTATTAATCTGAATGTGCAAAGTAGCTAGTAGACACAGTTATCAGATAAATGTGGAGTAAATAGTACAATAGTTCCATGTGAAATGTAGTGGTGTAAAAGTATAAAGTATCACAAAAGTGAAATATTCCTACTCAAGTAAAGTAGAAGTAGCTCAAAAGTTTACTTAAGTGCAGTACTGGAATAAATGTATTTAGTTTCCATCACTGAATACATTTTAGTCTTGTTTTGCTATAATCAAGTATTTGCCAAAGGACATTCAGACCAGATGGAAGGAAATCCACTAGGATCTCCACTAGCAGAGATACTTTTTACATACAAAACATGTTAATAGTTTATACTATATAGTGGCAAAACTAATAAATGTGGTGAGAAATGGACAAGAGACTTAATTGTCTTTGTGTTTTTTAAGCATTCAGTTGGATGGAAAGAGAAATTCAAGAAATCTAACAAAAGTAATCACTAACCCTTCCTTTACTTTTAAGTTACCAAAAGGATATAATGTTTTAATTAAAGTGCTCTAACTATGATATTTAAATGGTAATTACATGATAATGTATCAGTAATAGCAATGTAGGCTTATACTACAATGCCATACTATGTGCAATATATAATAATCTATTACAGGTCAACATGTACCATAATTTACAAATGAAGGACTTAAATATGTCTATATTACACTGTGGTAGACCCATTGCTACTTTATTTGAAAAAAAGAACCAGAATCCATTTTTCACACTAGCACTGGATGGTTATGAACATATAGGTACTGTATATAGTGTACTGTATGACTAAAGAAATTAAACAAGAATCTTAAAAAAGACAATGTTTTTAAGTTTTTCCAAATAGAAGTGGTGCTCTAAAAACCAATGTGATGTTAAACAATTTCATGCTTTTATTTTGAAGCCAAAATTAACATGTATCTGCTTTTTCCATATAGCAGCTTATCTTTACACATCTTTAGTGCTGCACCACCTTTAGTCCCAAATTCAACTAACTGATGGATTGGATGTAAGACCTGCTGTTGATTTTCATCTAATTTCCTCCAACATCCCTTCATTAACCATCAACGATTCAGATGAATGACTTCTTTCATTCCTTCTTTTGTTTTTAGAATACTGAATAATTCCCCCACACCCCCATGTTAATCATTGGCTGGATTCTCCAGTAAACTGTGAGAATATCACCACACTTAACTGAAACTCAAACAGTAAAGACAAAGGTCAGGTCACTTTAAATTTATTACTGACCACCACAAAGGAGCTGTATCCCGATGGAAATACTACAAGAATAATGGAATTATTCCTCTTTTCACTACAATGTAATGTTTGTTAAGCCACTATTTAATCATTGTTAAATACACATACACTACAGGATGCACACCCTAAAAGTAGCCTATAATATATCTGCAAAACATTATTTTATACAGTATATCTTTAAAAAAAATGGCAATGGTGTTATAGGCTAAATGAACACTATGTTTCGCATATGTAGTGAATTTTGGAGGCAAAAGATAAGATTTAATAATAACAATAACAATTTTGATAAGATTTTCCTTGCATGCTAAACATTTGTAAATATTACATGGTGCTTTTTCATTATTTTCATTATATAATGACCGATTCCTCTAACAAATAAAGCTATAAATCTGACTGCACTTTAACAGTGATGGTCACAAGCTGAACATGAAGCCACTGTGACACTGTCTTAACCTGAATTGTCAGCCAAGGATTGCGCAAGAAATGCTGGTCTTCCAATTTTGCCTGCATAAATAAGCATCACTTCATGGGACAAATGTGATGGAACCAATTTCAACCAAACCATAATCTCTTGATCCACTTGGAACTTTGGCTCTTGCACAATGTCTTAACATCACTAAATATGAGACTAGGATTTTTTTAAGTAACTCAAAATACAGAAAATACTTGACACACATGATATCTGAGGGAGGCATCAAGGGGAGTGTAAACTCCACAGGGAAGAGCACATGACTGTAGCAGGGCCATTAAAGTTTGACTTTAATCTGACATGTGACTGGATGAGCCTGTCTGCATTTTGCAGCCCCATCCATCTCCAGACAG